ACGCCTACCTGGTCGTTTCTTGGGCTCATTGTCACCTGTGGACTTCCATTTGTTCAGCACGTTGTCAAATGTCGACCTGGGAATGTTTAATTGTTGCACAATAGCACGTACAGACATTTTCCCCAAATGACATCCAATTATCCTTCCCCTCTGAAACTCTGTTAGCTCTTTCCGAGTACTTATAGTTCGGCGTACAGTTCGAAATGACTTCCTAGCGAACCGCTAATCACCCTTATAGGCCAAACTATTTGTATATTTCGTCACCACATCCATTTTCCTGTAATCAGAGGTGTGTCCCATGACTTTTGGTAGGATAGTGTATTTCTAATTTCTTTAGCAGCTTGGATGGGTGATTATAAAATATATCTAGTCAAGAGGCAGACATACAGCTCAGTACTGAAGATTGATATTACTTAGTTACTAAGTCAATGGCAAATGTTTTGTTTGTTTTAGCACAAAACTACACAATAAGCTATCTATGCTTTAGCCATCAGAGGAATCAAACCCCGGATTGTATAAAATTGTAAACTTACCGCTGATCCAATGGGAGAATATTCAAGAAAAGTAGTTTACGTATGGAATTAGGTATGAACCAATGGCATACGACAAACCATTCTTCAATATAGAAGCTGTCATAAATAGCGCTAAAAAACTGGCAAAAGAATTACCGTTTGTTTCAGAACTATAGTAGACTCGTGTAAAACTAAAGAAGCACTTTCATAGATATGAACCTGAGGACGAACCAATCACAACAAAGGCTGAAAACTAAATTTTGGATGTTGCAGTTGAATGTCCTCAGATGACATTGTGAGATAGGTTTGATTTGGCCACTTTTTGGATTCCTGTGTGACGTTAAAAATTCCAAATGTACAACACAAAGAACTAGTAAAATCGTGCATAGCTCTAGCGCTATTCAGTATTAAATGAGCTAAGTCATAATTTGAAGGATTTAAAGCTTTAGCGCTTTTCAGTACCAGAGGAGCTAAGTCATATTTTGAAGGATTTTTTGTTTGTTTGAAGTTAAGCACAAAGCATCACAATGGGCTATCTGTGCTCTCTCTACCACGGGTATCGAAACCCGGATTCTAGCGTTGTAAGTCCGCGGCCATATCGCTGTGCCACTGGGGGTCATTTTGAAGGAATACATTTGGCGGTTGAACTTCAAGGTCTAGCCATTGTTCTCTTAGAGACATTAGGATAAAAGGGGTATTAGTAGTACCAGAAAACTGTACAGAAAGTATAGTACAAGTAGGAAATAATGCAAATTAATACTATATAAAACCACCCTACTATAAAAGAACATTCAACCAATTATACCCAAGATCTTGAAACAATTTCCATTTAATTGAAAAACGTAAACAGGGCAAATCGGGGTTCAGTATTGTTAACTGAATTTTTTTTTTTGGTCAGGCTAATGCTTAAAAGTAAATATAAATTATATTACTCACTAAATTACCCCCCTCCCACCCAGTAGCACA